AAAGACTCAGTTTACCCGGCCGGAACCGCTAGAGTTCTGCGTGAGGTTTAAGGACGAACCAATAACCATAACGAAAAGTTTTTTTTGATAATGTTTCGTTAAAAAATAAATTATATTGTGAAAAAATTACGATTGTTTACATTGTCGATCATCGCTATCTACCAATAATATTTCAGAAAATTTTTGTTGATCACCTGGCTCTAGTATTAATATATCTGTATTACAGTACTGTATTTTAAAAAATTTCAAAATTTGATTGGTTGGCCCGAAGCCACCTATATGATATGCGATCATTCTTTAGTTTTATACGCCAATTGTCTTCTCTATCAATTTAAATCTAAAATGTCCGGAACAGGCCAAAGGCTCAATATTTTCCCTACTAGAATGTACAGTATTATTATTTGTGATATAACGATCTAACCTTTTCGTTCTATAATATGCCATTTATACTTTTTTTTTTTTTTACTTCAGGGCTTTGACTTTAATGAAAACAAAGTTAAAAGGGGCTCAAACAGGGCACAGTTTATTGAAACGTAAGAGTGAAGCTCTCTCAAAACGTTTTAGAAGTATAGTTCAAAAGATTGAAGATGTTAGTGATTGTCTTATTTTATGATAATATTTTTTTATGCAAAAAAAAAAAAAAAAAAAATATCAATCGAACATTTTGAATTTCAAACGTATTCATAAAAGGCTAAGCAGAAAATGAGTAAAATAATGCAAACTGCTTCATTCTCGTTGGTTGAAGTAGCTTATATTGCTGGTGATATTCAGTGAGTGCCCATTTTATACGAGCTTTATTGAATTTTTTAGATTAATACTAAAAAAAAATGATGTAAAGTTATCAGGTTCAAGAGAGTGTCAAAAGCGCACAATTTCGAGTTCGCACAAAACAAGAAAATGTGTCTGGTGTTATGTTACCTACATTTGAATGTTATATGGAGGGTGCTAATGGTAGTTTGCGATTAATTTTTATTTATTTATTTTATTTTCCTTGTTTTTTCACTTATAATAACTTTCATTAACACAATTTTTTTATGATTATTTTCTTATTTAAGCTTTTGAACTAGCTGGTCTTGGACGTGGTGGTCAGCAAATTAATAAGTGTAAGGAAACATATATTAAAGCAGTTGAAACTTTAGTAGAATTGGCTTCATTGCAGGTATAACACATTCAACAAGCATAACGCAATGATGTATATGTCTTTTTATTAATTCTTTAATTTCTCTTAGACAGCTTTTGTTATCTTGGATGAAGTTATAAAGATGACCAATCGCCGTGTTAATGCAATTGAATACGTTATCATACCTAAAATAGAAAATACTATAAAATATATTGTTTCTGAATTAGATGAACAAGATCGTGAAGAGTTTTTCAGGTGAAATAATTACAAATATCTTATTCGATAGAATTAACTTTAATGAATTATTAATAATTATCAATGATTTAAAAAGATTAAAAAAAGTGCAGGGTAAGAATAAGAAAGACCAACAGGCAGCCGAGAAGGAGCGTGCGCTTGTGAGCGGTGAGATACTTAATAGATTATACTTTTTATTTGAAATTTTCTTTATCGGTTTATATATATATATTTTTTTCTTCAGAAAACTCGTCAGAATATGCACAACCCGCGGATATATTGGAAAGCAATGACGATAGTGATCTTATTTTTTAAATTGGGCGAACACAACTTTAGGCATAATTTTAAGATACCAACTTTTTTAGGGTTTTTGATGTCACATCATTGGTTTACAAATTATTAATTATTTAAAGTATTTAATTTTAAACAAAAAAATATATATATATACTGTATATATATTGTGTTTTGCATATGTTAGCTATAGAAAAACAATTTAATCACATATCAATTTGTTAAATAAAAATTTGCACAAAAATACGGTATATTTATCATATAATTTATTAAAATTTTTTACAGTAGTAAAGAATAACAATGCATCACGCTATTAAAAAATGATAAAAAATGAAAAAAAAATGAAACTGGTACTTACTAATGCGTTCCTGGAAAGTCCGAAACACCATTTCCGGCGTCAATTTCACGAACCGGAACCGTCCCTAATCCAAGCAATATATATAACATAACCCTTCTCGAAGTCAGATCCTAACATAGAATTTGGTAGTCGCCACATTATAAAATTCTTACGTTTCATTTCATTAAGAAATTCGAGGTGAACAATATCAGATCTCAATTCCAAAGAAATGATAGCTATTGTAGGTTTTGTCATCTTAATCATTTCATCAACATCTTGACCACCTTCATTAATTTTTATAAGCCTGTTATAATTACATAACTTTACCAAAGTTTCAACAAATGAATTAACAATGAACTCATTGTAAATACAATCACTTGCAATCACATAATCCCAATGTTCCGACAAAATATTTTTATCAATTTCTTCACCCCAATTCAATTCAATAACTAAAACCTTTGATAAAATCAGATCATCATTCAAATTTCGTTTAACATTTTTCCACAAATGGGGTAATACTGTTGCCTGATCTGTTAATGCCATAAGCTTTACCAATGAAGTAGCTAGCGAAATACCAGTTAAACCACATCCAGAACCTAACTCCAAGACTTTAGTTTTATCAGGTGAAAGGTTCAACCATTTTCGATGGTTGAACATAAATTTTGAAAGCATGATACTTGGATTCCAAAGAACCGTTCCTGTTGCACCACGTGCAGCAAGGAGTGATTGGTTTTGTGCAATTTTTATTATCAATCGATCTGAAATTAAAAAAAAAATAATAAAAAAAATAATAAAAAATAATAATAATGGTAAATTCTTTGATTAAAAGGCATAGAAACAAATTAATTGTAATTTTGACCATCGATCATAACATCAACATAAACCTCTTTCTGAGATATAATTTGCTTATGCTGCCATTCTGAAGGAATTCCTTCAGTATATAAGAGAAAGACCTCTTCATAAACATCGATAATTTCAACAGAATTTTGTGGAATAGAAATTGGTGATATATCATCAGCCATGCGAAGCAAATGTGAGAAAACCTGAAATTTATGATCACATGAGCTACTAAGATGTAAAAAATCCAAAAAAATTATAGCTGCATATTAAATATAATGTGTCGACTTTGCATAACAGTAATCAGAAAAAACTTTATATTCTTTGTATAAAATTAATGGGACACATGATGATGGCCACAGTCTCTGAACCAAAACAACAAAATGGACACAGTGATTCTCGAGCACAACTTGAAAAAAACCATAGATCAACTGCTTACTAAAATATGGGAAATCATGGTACAACTTAATGAGTATGATTCCGAAAATAAATGGGCAGTGAGTCGCTCCTTGTACGTTTGATTAATATTTCTAATTAATATTATATTTAAATAGGTAAAAAATGAATAATATTTTCATAATTTTTAGGACCGATTTGGTCGCTTGTTTTGAAGAAGTGAACGCGCTTCAAGAAAAGATTCACCACATAGAAGTGCCTATGAAAGTAATAGAGTATGTTCATTGAACTTTATAATAAGAAGCTTTTATTTTTTTTTACATGAAACTTGATTTCTATTTTAAACGATTAGATTTATCGACGAAGGACGTAATCCTGCTATTTTCATGGCTGACTATGTGGATGAAGTTATGCAAGAAAACCGAGCGGTTAAAGTTAAAAATGAAGCAATACAAGTAATATCTAATATTAAATAATTTACATGTATTTCTTTTATTATATGGATTCAGGACTTTATCTAATTATAGTGGGAAATTTAACTAATCAGGGTTTTAGAAAAATGCTTCTCGAACAATTACAAGAAACTTTCCCTGAACAAACTAGTGCTTGGAACCGGATATCTAATTCTAATCGGATACCCGGATAAATTTCTTTGACCAAGGTTAAATAGATTATATCATTTATTCCGGCTTATAACCGGTTAATATTTTTATTAGTTTATAACCTTATTTGAACACTGAAAATATTGAATTTCTACACATTTATACACTTTCTTATTATATGCTATATTCCCCAACTCATACGTAGTAGTAGCAATGTAATCATCAAAATTCTGTGACAGAATTAATCAGTTATAGCCAGCGATAAAAAAGTAATGTAAATACGAAAAT